CACTCACACACATACACACACACAGGCCAACGCTAAATTACTCGCCAACTCCAGCCGTGGAAGTCAACGAAAAGTATTTTTTTTAAATTGTATCAAATATTTGTTCCCACATTTTCATGCCGGCAGCGTGTGGCAGTGGCAGCGGAGACAACAACAATAACAGCAACCATGCGCTACGTCTGATAGTCTGATTTGCCGCTTTCTAGCAACATTGCCGTGCACTAACACATTTATACATATATATGTAAATGTTTAAATTTATTTATTTAATATTTTGTTTTTGCTTTTGCTATGGCCCAGGTGAAAGAATACACCGTGCTGAGTTTACAGAATTTTTCCAAGCAGTCGCACAGCAACACACACCCATAAACATATATTTAGAGGCACAACTCTCGTATTCATGGATTTTATTATTCATTTTCCATTGCTTTTGTTTTTGTTTTTAGGTCTGCACTTGCACATATTTACGGTATTCTCAAATAAATCAAGTTCAGCACACAGCTGAGTGAAATTTCGTGTGACAGTGGCGGTWTTTTATTTGTCCGCATGTGTGTGTGTTCGTTTCACAACTCATTTTTCCATCACGCATTTAGGCAAGAGTTATGCATATTCGGTGGCATACATACGCCGTGTTACTGTTTTTGTAGGCGTTGTTACTCATACACACTTGTGCTTGCGATTTTGASGCGTCAGGTAATTTTGTATGCAGGCGTAGTCAGCTGGTTTGCGGCTGTTTGACGGTAATTGCATTGGAGCCAAAGACTGTGAGAAAAAGTATGCTTTTGTTGTCTGTTTTTGTGACGGATAATTGTTAAAAAAAATTTACATATAAAGTAATAGTAGCACTACTACTTTTCATTGCTTAGATGCAGCAACAATAAGCAACATGTTGTCGGAATGTTGCCAAAAATTCATAATTTTCAATTTTCCATAAAGTCTGTTAACGTTTATTTTTWGGTCTGAATACTAATAAATATTACTTTAGCAACATTTTGATTTTTTAGCAACATTCTGCTAAAATTTTTGTAACTAAGAAAAATGTTTTTGTGTATATTTTTCGCTCAATCCGCATGTTTTTGCATTCAAAAGGCATACAAAACAAGTTTTACCATGTGCAAATACATTTTCCACGTTACCAACATGTTGCTCTAAATGTTATTGCMTATATTTTCGTTATATGCTATAACTTAAGCAACATTTGGCTTTTATTTGTGTTTAAATAACGATTCAAAAGCTAAATGAATATTCAGCAACATCTTAGCAACTGTGCAACATACTTAATATGCCTGTCTCTTATACACATCTAGATGTGTATAAGAGACAGTTTGTATACTGCTTATTAGTTGCTCGAACACACACACACATACACCAGTCACTTATACACATCTAGATGTGTATGTGCTTACAGCAACATGTTGCAAAGATACATTGTTGCTAGCAACATTACCGTTTATACACATCAATATTCCAAAAATAATACTTATAAGCGCTATTTTGTTAAATTACAAATTACACTTTGCAACATTCAAAAGCTAAATGAATATTCAGCAACATCTTAGCAACTGTGCAACATACTTAATATGCTCAGCAACATRTTGCTAAGCATTTCTYGAGTAAAAATTTGCAAATTATGACTACAAACAACTATTAACATTTTAATTTAATATGTGCTTACAGCAACATGTTGCAAAGATACATTGTTGCTAGCAACATTACCGTTTATACACATCAATATTCCAAAAATAATACTTATAAGCGCTATTTTGTTAAATTACACTTTGCAACATGTTGCACTACCAGTTTGCAGCCTAGCAATGCCACTTTAAGCAGCAGCTGTCTTCATTTTTCCCGTTTTTTGCACGTCTGCTGTTGGCACATCAACACTTTGCAACAGTAAAGCTGCAGTAGCCCGCACATTGTAGCAAATAAATAATATCTACTAATGAAATATGAGTTGAAAGCGAAATAGCTGTTGGAAGTGGCAAAGTACGAATATAATAAAAGCAATAACTAACTTCAACTACTCGGGCAGCATGAGGCGCACCTTGTTTTCTGCGCAACATATTCATTCTACTTCATCGCATACATGATGTACACACACACACACACAAACAGGCGTAGCGACGAGTCGCAGTTACATTTATACACATTAATTCGTCGCAAAAATTAAAGATAGCCGCAGCAGCAGCAGCAACCGACGCTCGGCTATAATGACGGCAGGTGTATTGTGCTATGCGATATGTATTGACAATATATTATAACAACAACAACTGCAAAATGGCTGAGAAGTGAATAAACTGGTATTTATATGTKGCAAGTGTGGAGTATAAAATGGTAGCAACACATACACACATAAACATTTGTATAGTTGTTGTCTCTGGCAGCTTAAGGGTCTCATAATCAATGTTGGTATATATTATATATCTTATGTGTGTGTGTGTGTGTGTGCGTCTCTCAACGGTAATTGTGATGCAGTTGACAGCAGCGCTGCAACATAACACAACAAGTTGATGAGCACAACAACAAAAACGTCGTGAAGACAGAATGACAATAATGCTGCATGTTGCTGGCGACTGCTAGCCGGCTGGAACTGTGTAACTGCGTTATATGTGTGTTGTTGTTGTTGCTTTGCTTCGGTTTTTATTAATTGTTGTTGTTTATAATGTTGCCGGACTCTTGCAGGTCTTGTTTTTGTGTCAGCTAAGCAGCTGGCATAATAATGTGTATGTATGTGTGATCGCCTTCGTTCAGAAGCTACAGCAGGTAGTCACTTGCTCTTTAAGCCAAGCTAGTAGCACTTGCAACCGTCAAGCAAGATTTTTTTTTTATTTGTTTGTATTTTGGCATCAACAACCATGCGGCATGTGCATAAAGTACAAAYAAATAATTGTTATAATTAAGTTAATGCATGTATGTGCAATAAAACTGAAGTTAGACGCGGGGGAGGGGTTCGGTGTACGGTGTTCGGCAAAGCGAGCAACTATTTGGCGATGAGCGGCCGAAGCTGGCAGTCTTTAGCGGCATGAGTGACCGGTTGAAGCAGCCAAATGCACATAGGCATAGGCGTGTGGGCGTGCGCGCAGAAGGCGTCGACAACAATAAAAATGCTGAAATAAAGCAATACTCGCAAATACACACACACACCATGCATACATAAATGTATAGATATGCAGGCGTGAGTGTGAGCAGTTAACTTGGCGAATGTTGCGCTGAATTTAGTTAAGCAAAAGCAATAAAATTGAAATTAGTTTTCCTTGGAAGCGCTARACACACACACACATACACGAGCGCCTACAGTTAAAAAGCGAGGTGTTGCACCTTATGCACCTTTCTTGCTGCCACGCATGCACTGC